AACCCGCGACCCAAACCACGTTCAGGGTACAAACCACATTTTCGGCGCCTGCGGCGGGCATCTTTTGCATTCCTTCTAGGTGGAGAGACCGCAGCCCACCCGCGACCACGTTCAGGGTACAAACCAAATTTTTCGGCGCCTGCGGCGGGCATCTTGTGGATTCGTTCCTGGTGGAGAACCCGCGGCCCACCAGCGACCCAAACCACGTTCAGTGTACAAACCAAATTTTTCGGCGCCTGCGGCGGGCTGCTTTTGCAGGAGGACGAGGAGGAGGAGGAGGAGGAGGAGGAGGAGGAGGAGGAGGAGGAGGAGGAGGAGGGGGAGGAACGACGACGACGACGACGACGACGACGTCGACGACGACGACAAAAAGGAGGAGGGGGGAGGATCGGGAGGGGGGGAAGAGGAGGAGGACGACGAGGAGGATCATGACGACAATGGGAGGACGATGATGGAAGGACGAGGGGGGGAGAGGGAGGACGAGGAAGAAGAGGAGGAGGGAGGACGAGGTGGAGGAGGAGGACGACGATGACGATGAGGACGAGGACGAGGACGAGGAAGAGGAGGAGGAGGAGGAGGAGGAGGAGGAGGAGGAGGCGGAGGAGGAGGAGGAGGAGGAGGAGGAGGGGGAGAAGGAGAGCGCCATCGACACGGAAGGTGGGGGCCACGAGGTCCGCCGGCTTGACGACGCCCGCGTCGCCCGCGCCCGCCCCCTCACTCTTATCCGCAATTGCGGGGTATATATATATATATATATATATATATATATATACATTTTCTATATATATATAGAGAGAGGGGGGCGAGAGACATAGAGAAATATATAACGAGACAGACAGAAAGAGAGAGAGAGAGAGAGAGAGAGAGAGAAAGGCGGGCGACCATGCAGTTTCTACACGCACATACGAAGAGGGAGAGAGAGAGAGAGAGAGAGAGAGAGAGAGAGAGAGAGAGAGGGAGAAAGAGAGAGAGAGAGAGAGAGAGAAAAAGAGAGAGAGAGAGAGACAGAGAAATAGAGAGAGAGAGAAGGAGAAACTGAGAGAGAGAAAGAGCGCGAGAGAGAGATGCGCAGACATACATACATATATATATATATATATACACATATGTCTATAGATCTGAATACACATGTAGACAGCTATTTCCACATACGTATACATGTACCTATGATATGAACATATATATATATATGCTACCCCCCTCCCCCTCGCAGAGTTCTACCGTTCTATATGTCGGCGTCCAAACGAAGCGATGATGTGATGTTGTGCTCCTGTCAATGCGCTGACAGCGTGTGCTAGCATAACCCATGGCAGATGCCCGACGTAACACAGACGCACTACCTAGTCTACGCCCGGATTCTGCCGCGGCCGATCACGCCGTCAGCGCGTCGCGCATGATGTGCTGCACCATCTCCCCCGTCTTGGCCCACATGTCGTCGTCCTTGTGCCAGTTGTCGTACTGGGCCGAACGGATCTTGGTGGCAAGCAACTTGGTTCCTGCCTTGGCGTTGGCGCTCCTGTGCGCGCGGTCCTTGATGAAACGCCACGCGCGACCAATGATCTGCGTGCCGCTCTTGACCATGGGGTGCTCGCCCGACGGGAGTACGTACGTCTTCAGCTCGACGTACTTGGGAGGATGGACGCCCTCTTGCCGCCGACGTTCTTGTACTTCTTCTTGTGAACAGAGAAATCGTGAATGACCCCAGGCGCACGCAGTTTGTGAATGCGCCGGGTCTGCGTGAAAGATAACACCGCGATCTTTCAGCCCGCGCCCAACAAAAAAAAGGTTTCCACTCTACCTTGCGCACGGCCGCAGGGCCAGGGGCACGCTTCATCGCCGTCTCAGGGCGCAGCCTCGCAAAGGTCAGCTCACGCGGCCTACCGCGCTGCGCACTGCCCAACCACTGCTCCCGCATGACGGGGCGAGACGGGTCTTCCAAAGGCTCGGGGCCGTCAACCAAGTCCATCGTGTCGAAGGTCGCCTCGTCGGCTTCCACGTCGTCCCATACCTTCGGCCCACTGCATTCAAAGGCTCCACGTCCTCCACGTGCATCCTCCGAGCCTGCTCAACGTTGCTCCAAATCCACTCCACCGATTTGTTGTGGACGTCGAACATGATGCGGGTGTTCGCGTGGGATATCCCCGTGAGCTTCGCCAGTGGGACCACGGCCTGTTTCTGCAAGCCCTCAGACGTCGAGTGCTCTGAAGATTGGGTTCGTGTGTGCAGGGGGCGCGCGCTTCTGGCAGCCCTTCGCGTTGCGGCTCGTCGGCGTCCTGGAGCGACAGTTCGGGGATTATGGGCCGTCTTGGACGTTTGGAGACCTCCTGGGACCCTCGGGTGGCGTTTCGGGTTGTCAGGGGCTGTCTCGGGGGGGCCCAGAGGCCCCAGTCCTCCCGTACCCCCCCGTGGCCCGGGCCCCGGTCGCCCAGGCCTCGTGCACGGGGATGTACATATCTATATGTATACATCTGTATGTGTATATAGATATAGCAATATATGTGTATACATATATATATATATATATATATATATATAGAGTCACCATGTATATATATACACGTCTATGATTATTTATCTGTGTGTATCATACACACATGGTTTACCTATCTTTCGAAGAAAGAAAGAGGGAACTTAAGAGAGAAAGAGAGAGACAGAGAGAGAGAGAGAGAGAGAGAGAATGAGAAAGAAAGAGAGGGACAAAGAGAGAGAGAGAGAGACAGAGAGCGAGAGAGACCAGGAAAGAGAGAGAGACAGAAGGAGAGAGACACACACAGAGCGAGAGGGTTCCTCCTCCCCCTCCTCCCTCATCGTCCCCCTCTCCATCCTCTCCCCCTTCCTCCTTCTCTCCGCCAACCCCGTTCCGTCCAACTGCTCGATTCGAACCTGTACTCTGCAAAGTATCCTGCCACAATATGGTGAAGCCCGTGTAGTCAGTGTGTTCGCCATATCTCAACTGACCTGGCAATACATCGGTGCCGTCCGGGAACGCCGGGTAGTACCTCGCAGACCCATTGGGCTGGGAGGGGGGGGGGGGGGCACACTGGGGTCACCATGGCAAACTTTACGGTCGCGTCGGTCGCGCCAGACGAACCTGAAGGATTTTCACTCTGAAAGTATGTCATGAAAGACCACTTTGGGTAAACCGATCTCCTTGGGGACTTTCCAAACAATTCGGAAGAAACAGAAGCTTCCATGCGTATCTCCAACACATGAAAATGGTAGCCAGAGTGACCCCAAACATTGAGCCAATGCACTGTGAAGGTGGAAGCTATGCGTTTTAGGCTATGCGGCATCAGCGCTGTCGTATAAGCTATGTGGTGTGAGCTATGGGGGGGTGTGAACATCATACTGTGTAAGTTCTATGGTGCATGCTATGCCGTGCAATCAGTGTGGTGTGCGCTGGAGTGGAAGCTATGTGGTGTGATATATCTGGTGCAAGCCATGTCGTGCAAGGTATGTTGTGTGAGCTACGTTGTGTAAACGATGTAGTGTTAGCAATGCGGTATAGGCTATGCGGTCTACGCTCAACGCACGGGGCGCCCACGAGCGCCCACGAGGCGGCAACGTAGAACATCCCCGGCAGACCCGCCCAGTTACTTCGGCCCCTCCTGCCCTATCCGCCTGGCGAGTCGCATCGCGCTCGGTGAGGCCCAGCCCGCAGCTCGAGCGGGTCAGCGGACAGCACAACGTCAACGAGGAGGGAGGCCTGAGCCTGTCGGGCTTCCCCGCCACACCCCCTGGGGCCGCGTCAGCTGACCTAGTCGAGCTGCGGGATGGGCCCTATCGAGCGCGATGCGACTCCGGGACCACAGGACCTTGATCGGGATCGGGCTCCTCTCCCCGCCAGGGGGACAGGGAAGGAGGGGCCGTTGGATCATCAGATTGTCTGAACTGGTGTCGTTATTCAGCCTTCTGCTCCCCTTTTCCCCTCCTGTCCTGGAACCTAGTCGTTGCGACGCTCTGAATTTAACATGTGGGCGGATTGACGGATGGATGGACCGATAGGCAGACCGATGATGGACGAATCGTGAGGCCAGTGTTGGCGTAGATGCGTATCCAAATATCAGTGGCACATGTCCCGAGAGCTTGATCTGCAAATCGTCGAAAGCATGTCGCATATCGCACGAAAGTGTCAACGCACCGTGCCGCACGGCACGCGCCACCCCCACAAAGGCCTGCCGTTACGCCACTTTGGCGACGGGCGCACCCTCTCTAGACAACCCCCATGCTTGACTTTTTCTGGCTGCTGTGTTGGATCCACCCAGCATCGGATTTCGTGAAGCGACCGCTTACTCAAGGCGAGCCATGCTTCCACCAGAAGTGCAGAGAGCGTCGTCCTGCGGCCAACTGGGCCCTCAACGACAACAAAGCTGATCATGCACTGCCTTTGATCCTCATCCTTCGCGTCGTGATCCACCCGTACAATATCATGGCAGCAGTGAGCGGCCTCAGATCCCCTGGCCGTCGCTGCCAAACCTCTCGGCTAGGCCCCAGAAATCTAAGTCACCAGCCTTCTCCCTGGGAGGCAGGGGGTGGGGGGGGGAGGCACTGGTGACATGTCGAGTGGGAAACGAACGAAGTCGTTCAAAGAAGTGGGCCAGGAGAAGGGGAAAACGAAGTGGAGAAGTGAAGAGGGGGAACGGATGGCTGTTACGACCGAACGCACTGCAGAATTTTGCTCGTCACAACGGGCCAAGGGGAAACAAAACACACCAGTCAATGCTGTATACGAATTCGGTTGACACTTCCAGATTTCTCACGTGAGGCATACGTGAACAAATATTGTTTCAAACTTCCCAAATTCGAACTGCAAGCGTATTCTAATGGTACTGGGCATGGAATGCCGTCAACACTACCTCAAAACATAAGCAAAGCCGAAGAAACATCATGTTGTCGGCAACAAGATGGTATCACTAGCTGCCACACGGAATGCAACTGCTGACCGCAGATACTGGGTCGTGGCCGCTCGTTTTTCGCGCAATGACGCTTGCTGACGTGTCTCAGTCGGAAACAGAACTCGATCTGCGCATCATGATCTTGAACTCATCGAAATCGATCTCACCGTCGCCGTTCCGATCGACGTCCTTGAAAATATCGTTCACGACGTCTGATCTCGAACTGTCATCAATGCCATCTGTCGCTGGCTGGCGGTGGAAAACCGCGGCCAATTCTGCCTTCGAGATCTTCCCACTACCGTCGCGGTCGAATCTTTGAAACGCCGACCATAATATGTCCTCCTTCTCGTAGACGTCTGGGTTCAAAGCGGACGACAAAAATTCTGTGTAATCGATCGTTCCAGTCTCGTCGACGTCAATGCCAGACATCAGTTGTTGCATCTTGGGAGTGACATCGCCCATACCAGCCTCTTCCAGGCCGCTCTTCAACTCAGAGAAGGTGAGCAAACCGTCACCGTTCTTGTCGAGCGCATGGAACACCTCCCGCAAGGCGTTGCCGCTCGAATCGTCCATCTCGCTGGCGATGACCTGCAACGCAACCTTTTTGAACCTGTTGGCGGCCTGGAACTGCTGCATTCGGTTGATCAGGCTACTGCTTCGAAGCCCAGGCGCTTTCGGTGCCTTCTGCTTGATCCAACTATGCTCCAGCGCGTGCTCGGCCGTCATCCGGCTGCCCTGGCGAACCAACAGCTTTCCGATCAGCTCCTGAGCTTCCTGAGAGACGTGTTGCCACGTCTTGGCGCCGAAAGAATACTTCATCTTCACGACCCTCTGCAGAATTGCAGCGGAAGTCGACCCAGGGAAAGGAACCTCGCCGCTGATGGAAGACGAAACAACTGCATAAACATAAACTTTTGGAGCTCCGCGCGGATTTCATGGATCGGCGCTGGAGGCGCCGCCAGGGGGGCCCAGCGCCGATACAAGAAATCTGCGCGGAGCTCTAAAGGTTGAATGTTTATATAACTCTTGTTTGTCTTCAAGCTGAGCAGGACGTACATTATCACCCCGCAGCTCCACATGTCGCACAGCTCGTCGTAGGACTGCTGAAGCACCTCGGGGGCCACGTAGTAGGGCGTACCCAAGCTAGTGGTCAACATCTTGCCCCTTGTGACGCGGGCTGCCAAACCAAAATCAATTATCTTGATGACGTTCGTTTCGATCGGGTCGTCATTGAGGCACAAAAAGTTCTCAGGTTTCAGATCCCGGTGAGCGATGCCGAGCGTGTGCATATCCCACGGCCCCCCGCCTGGGGCCACGGATTTACGAGTTTGGCTCCTCGTGGTGTTTCTTCGCGATGAGACAGACAATCAAACGAAGACGCTGACGGGGCATTCAACAAAAATTGCCCGCACGAGAACAATGATGGACGACAACTGATCGAACAAACATCGGATCTGCTTTTTAGCCAAGGCTTCCTCCATCAAAAACAAACGACGTGGGCAACTGCATGGGCCAACCATCTCGTTAATCCCAAGAAACCCGAGATACGTCTGTGGGGGAGGGGGGGGGTACTCTTGCGTTGCCGGGGAACCGTGTGCATGTGTGTGTGTTGGCCGCGCACGTTCTCCCGTTCGACTGTCTAGGCCACACCGCCGCGCTCGTGGCCGCGACGCCAAAACATGTGTGTGTGTGTGTGTGTGCGTGTAAGCGCGTGTGTGGGCCGGGTTGGGCTGTCAGGCGGGCAAGCACGTACATCTTCTGGCGAGCACGACCGAAAGTGGCACTGGGACGACTACCCACGCGGGCACGATTGCTTTGCACTGGGATTGTGGATACCCTGAGTCGAGGGGCCAACGGCAGTGACCGAAAGTCTTTCAGATAATTCAAGCCCTTGACAATCTGCTCGACGCAATGGGCGGCTTGAATTTCCGTGAAATGCACGGCGCTGACAATTCGGTCGAACAGCTCACCTCCGCTGCACACCTCCATGACTAGGTGATAGTTCTTGGAATCCTCGAAGGTCTCGAAGAGCCGCACTATGTGGGGGTGGTCCAACATGGACATGATTTCCACCTGAGCGCAAGGATCGTTTCTCGACTTTGGCGGCGCTCGCAGATGCGACAACGGACGACTCAACGGCTTCCGCCCTCCCCCCCAGATCCCCCATCTGGCCGAAATCGGGGCGTGCCCGTTGATACACAGACTAGAGCATTCCCCAAGTATGATGAAGATCGGCAAGAATTTCCGCCAGTGTCCACCTCCTTCCTGAACAGCTTCATGGTGCTATTCTCCCTGTTCTTACGACCCCTCAACTTCTCCTTGGCGATTGTCTTAACCGCACGCTCGGCTTTGCTGTCTCTCTTGACAGCCAGCGTGACGGAGCCGTACGAGCCTTTGCCCATCTGCTTCTTCATCTCGTAGCAATCATTTAGCCTGCGTAGACCCTCCTCTCCTCCTTGTCTCATTCATCCTTCACCTCCCTCCCACTCCTCAACCCGTCTCGTCCTTATCCCTCCCCCACCCTCCTCTCACATCTTCATCTTTGTTCTGTGGATTCGCTTTATTCCCTCCTACATCAATCTCTCCGGATTATATGTGCCATCCTTTCGCAACAGAAGACTTGTCGGTAGGGCGTAGCGGACATTTCGCCTGAGACTTCCTCACGACGTTCGCCCAACTATGATTCTGAGCAATGGCATTCTGAACATTTGCACGGATGGCGGGCTGTGTTCAAAGTGTAGCACTCGCGTCAGCGCTGCGCACATTCGTCTTAAATAGTTTGCAGCAGTCACGCAAATCAAGGGCAGGCCGTCTTCAACATGTGGCGCTCGGCTGTCCGCCGCGCACATTTGTTTCAAAGAGTTCGCGTCACGCTGGCATCGGGACCCTAAACACCGGCGCTGCATGACAAGACACATGGTTGGCACGGCACGGCACATTTGTCGCACTCTAGAACACAAGCGCGAAACGCCGTAATTTTCGCTTACGAGATCGCGCGCGCGGGAACGCGCGCGGGCAGAGGAGGAAGGGTGACAGGGGGAGAAGGGAAAAGGGGGAAGAGGAGGAGCACGATTGAGGAAGAAATTCTCGAAGGGTCCAGGTGGTTTCAGGGAGCTGCGACGAGGGTTCCGCCACCTCTTGAAGCGCGTCGAATGAGGTGACAAAAATGAGTCGGGGAGGCCCTAGGGGTCCCAGGAGTGATGAGGTGGATGAGGACAAGGAGGAGAACCAGAGTCAACCCTGGATGGGTCAACGATCTTGCAAAGCATCCTGTCGCCCTACGTGCACTCATAAGTCCCCACCTCAAATGTTCTATTCCATCAAGAAGAGCACCCGCTTCAAAGCCAACGCCCAAACTGCCACTGAGGCGAGATCTTTCTTCTGAAAGAGATAACTCCGCCACCCGTGTGAATGCCGTAAGGGGCTCCATCTCTACTGAGAAAACTGGTTCTCGTTTCAATAATGCGACCAAATGTGCCGCTCGAGTGCCGTGCCGTGCCGTGCCCGTGCCCGTGCTGTGCTGGTGTTCAAGAATGCAGAACATGTGCCGCGCCGTACCGTGGTTACGTGCCGGGAACCGCCGCGCCTGTGTTCTCGAGTGCGATGAGTGTGCCGTGCCGTGCCGTGCATGCGTGCCGCGCGTGCCGGTGCTGTGAAATTCGAGAGGTGCGCCGTGCCGTGCCCGCGTTCCGAGTCGTGGGTGCGTGTCGCGGAAGGCAGGGCGATGCGGGCACGCTCGCGAACGCCAACGCTGCTGACAAAACCTGCTCTAGAACACAACAAAAGTGCCGTGCAATGCCCATGTGCCGTGCCGCGCCGTGCCTGCGTTCTAGAATGCGAGGAGCGGGGCCGTGCAATGCTCACGTGCCGAGCCTCGACGTGCCGTGCCTGCGCCGTAGGATGCGAGGAACTGTGCCGCGCTGTGCCGTGCCGTGCCTGCGCTCTTGAATGCGAATAGGGGACCGTGCTTCACCTTTGTGCTGGCCTGCGAACAGTGTGCCGTGCAATGCCTGCGTGCCGCGCCTGTGTTGTAGAAAGTGAGAAGGTGCCGCGCCGTGCTTGCGTGCCGTGCCTTCGACGTAGAATGCGAGAACTGCGCCGTGCTAGAGGGCGAAAGGGACAAGCCAAGTGCGCTCACGCCATATCTAACATCCTACCTCTCCCATCCCTTCCTGCCCCTTGTGCTGAATTCTTTTGCATCCGCCGATCGGGGAGGCCTAGAGGACCTTGACCCCCAGAGCGATCCCAGCAAGACCAGGGGAAGGCGGAGGCGGGGAAAGGAGGGGGGCCGGCACCGACGAAGAAAACGGATTCAGAATTGTGGCCTGCGCTGGGGCGACAACGCCGTTCTGAGCGACGGGAGCAGAGCGCCGAGTCTTGACTGTGGCAGACACCTGCAGCAGGGTCACAAACTTTGAAACACCGAGAACATTTCCATCGAACAAAAACATACACGGAAAAACATAATCAGAGATCCTGCGTGTGAAAATCATTACGCGGGAGAGGGGGGCGGCACTGCTGGACATGATCAGGAGTGAGAGAGAGAGGCACACAAAACATAAAGAGAGCGAACGAGAGAGAAGGAGAGAACGAGAGAGAGAGAGAGAAAGAACGAGAAAGAGAGAGAGAGCAGTTGAGCAGTTGTGGACGGGCGAATCGAATCGAATCGAACTCTGAGGGCATTAAGTCAGAATGGCAACTCGTGAGAAGACTGGGCCACTCCTGATAACTTCATTTCAGCTTATAACAAGACCATGCTTTCTACGACGCGCTGAGGACCCATGCGGGAACTTTACAATCCTGCCGTGCTGGCAGGAGCACTGCTCTGGCGATCTGTGGCACGCTCGCTTGCAGAAAAGGCTGGGAAACCACCTCGTACTCACATAACTTTGGGTGACTACAAGACCAAACAGCTTTTTTGACAGGCGACCCACCCTCGAGGCACCAGGAACGTAGGGCCACGAAACCGAAGGACCGACACTGGCCGCGAGAGACGCGAACGAGAAGAGGGCTGGAAGGGGCCAACGAGCAGAGCCACAGGGAGGAGGGGCAGACAAAGCAGCATGGAGCGAAAGCGACAGGAGGGGGAGAGGCTCGGGGAATAGAGGGGGAGAGGGGCGACGTCATGTTTTCATTTTCTTTTTTTCTCGCAACATCGGCCCCCAATGGTCTGGACTTCTTGCCCAGGACTGGTTCTTCATCTCGAGTCGTTTCTTGACGCCCCCAGGGCCTGGTGAGGGTCGAAGAAGCCGAAACAACAAAATCCCTCCCTTCGTCATCTCTTCACCACGCGAGGGGGTCTGTGTTGAGGGAGGGGGAGCTTCCCCCCGTCCTCTCTTCTTCTTCCTCCTCCTCCTCCTCCTTCTCCTCAGCCGAGAGGAACCGTTTCCTCTGTGCGCCGGCACTCCGCCAGCGTCAGATCATCCTCCGCGCCCTCGGGCGCAGGCCGCGCCGTCACGCGCAGCCTCCTGCGCTGGGCCTTGAATCAAGGCAGCAGCAGATCGTCGTCGGTGACCTGCGCGCCGTCGCTTCCCAAACTCTCGCTCCCCACGTCCCACCCCAGCTTCTCGACTCTGGTGGTGAACGTGTTCAAATCGTTTATCTCCAGCTCGAAATCGCGCTCGGGCATGCTGATGCCCACATCCTCGAACCGGAACAACCGGTCCACGAGCTCCTCTGCCTTCGCAAACGATCTCTGCAACAATGAATTCCAGCCGCGCGCGGCAACGCTAGACCCTGGACGCCACTAGTCGTCTCGAAGAGCCAGGGCAATCGGCAACCCAACGAGCACACTCGCACATCCAGTTCCCAGCTGTGGCGAAGAATATTCCTGGGCGCAAAGGACACAACCCACGGCTCGTCGCCATCGCTCCCGTCAACGCGGCACTCCATAGAATTACAGCCTGCTGTCCCACAAGCAGATGCTTCACGACGTTCTCGAACTTCGGAGCACGCTTCCTGTAGAGCGCCAAGCCTTGACCCGGTGTAGAACCTTCCGTTCTCCGCGTGCGACGCCCCGCAGGGCGTCTCGTAGAACACTTCCCTTCGTCGAGCCGTCCGCCCAACAGTCTCGAGTATCTTATCTATCAAGCCGTCCGCGCAGCAGTCTCGAGTATCTATCCACTAAAGCGTCCGTGAGATTAACCTGTCCAGCAATTATCTGACCCACTGCGCGTGATACAGCGCGTGACGTTCTGCAGGATCTTCACCTGCTCCGCCGTGATGCCGCTGAATACAATCTGCGCGTCCACGCAGGCCTCCAGCGGCAAAGATGGCTGCAAACATCCTGCAGCACCATGCACCATGTCGCGTAGTTGGCGAGCATCCAGTTCTCCGTCTTGTATGTCTTTCATGAATCCCGCCAACAGCAATAGGTTGTCGCAGCCGTCCGATAGTTGGCAGAGTTCGGCGCCCCAAGTGGATCTCACCACGTGCGCCTGCTTCCTCGGGTAGAGCTCCAGCACGTTGCACTTGCCTCCGGACCTTCGCCATCTTCTGCAAGTAGGTGCACAGCGCCCCGCATCGCCAAGCCCTTGTCGTCTGGCTCGCCCCTGAAGGCTGCGTCGCCAACGGTGATCAGCTTCACCGGCAAGCTCAGCTTGCTGGACACCAGCGCCAGAGGGTGCTCCTTCATGTACTTCAGCAGCACGTTCATCTTCTTGATGTGGCCGGCCTTTGGCGCCTTGCCGTGTCGCTGCAGTGCTGCAGCGTAGACGCATATGCCGACCCGCGTCATGATACACCAAGCGATAGCCCCGAGAAGCGACGGATACTGCTTCACGTGCTTCTCTGGCGGGTCGTCATCGTCGCTCATGCCTTGCAGTCCCCTCTCGTCGATGCAGTTGAAATTCTTGATGTACTCGACCTGGCCCACCTCAATACTCATGTCGTCCAACTGTCGGTGTCGAAGGCCACAATGGATGAAATTATTCTCCTGCGTCGCCATCTTGCCGAACACCGCCTCGGACTTGTCAATCATCTCGTCCTTGGCCTTGTCGCGACCGGCGTACTTCAGATCATCTAGATGAGTGGATGCCACCAGCGTCAGAACCTTCTCTTCGTGCTTCAACCAGAGCTGTGGATCCGCATGCGCGGCTCGAAGTCCGACTGAGAGTAGCACGTGGTCACGACGAAGTCCAAACAAGCGTGGTGCGTCGTTCAGACCGAAGCCGCCTTTCTCCTGATACAGCACCTCCAGCACGCAGTTGAAGCCCTCGAAGCCCTCGACTTCGGCAAGCAACTCCGCTGTGCCCTTCGGGAGCTCGAAGCAGATGTCGCCAATGGGCTCGCTGAGCAGCTCGGACACCTCCCCGAACGTCATGCCTTGAAAGAGTGCCGTGGACATTTCAGCGCTGCGTACCTTCCACTGGTGTTGAGCGGCAAGTATATTCACCACTCTCTGACCCCATCTCATACTTGTCGCCGTGCACGTC